ATTTAAAAATGTAGGAAGCCTGTTGAACTTGTTTTAAATATAAAAAGTTTGGCAAAACTTTCCCCCCCCCCCCCCTTTTTTTTAATTGCACAAGGAAGGAAACTCCACAGGGTAGGAATTGTATTTGCCATCTTGCACATGCTGGGCATATTATTTACTATTTGAAGATAACAAATTTGTCACTGACCTCAACAGTTACAGGCTAATCTGCCATCTAATTATAGGTCTGCACATGGAGATTATATTCTTTCTCCAAATCAACTTGAACAAAAGTCTTCTTTCAAAGCATTTTCTGACATAATACTTTAATAAGAGGTTTCAGGAGCATGCTTTTTGTTGCACTCAGCTTCAACTAAGCTTCAACCTACACTTACTGTTAGAACTGCAAATATGAAAGCAAAAAATCCCGTTTACTGGCTTAGAAAATAATTGTACAACTCTGATTACCTCACAACTTGTCTCTGTGAGGACCTCCACGACAATACAGCGCAAAAGTCCCCGAGACACTCATTAACACTAAATACAGGTGAGAAACCCCACCTCTCAAATAAATACATGGCTAAAAACAGTTAAAAATTCCACTGCCAACCAGTTCAAATCATCTGCAAGTCTAAAAACAAGCAGAAATCTACTAAATAAGACAACCATGGGGAAAAAAGTATAATTCGATTTTAAACCACAATCTCCTACTTGCTAGTTTATGTACACAAAGACCACGTACTCCTTGCTATTGGACAGCAATATGAAATCTGCATCTTACCCTAACATTTTAATATTTTGATTTAAAGTCCAGCAGACTTTATTGCTCTGAAAATCTAGTCATGTGCATGTGCAAAGTCAGGTCAGCTCTAAAAGCAGCCTCTATTTAAGATGCTAGCTGCAGTGTGAATAAAGATCTCTTCACAAGATACAATGCAAATCTAAAACTAACTGGGGCAACGGATATAAAATACGCCTACACTTCACAGTCATGTCTTCAGCTCAAAAATCTGAAGTCACAGGTATGCGAATAGATCAAACATAACCAAGAGTTGATAGCACAGCAAAAATAACCAATCTGTACAGTATTTTCAAATTTTACTCTCCTTTTTTCTGTCTGAAAAATCTCATGAACACTGAAGAGGCAAGTCTGCCAAGCTTTGAGGTTCACAGTACTTTGAAAAAAGTCCAAAATAAACGTACTTTTAATATGACCGACTCAGTTAAAAATCATGAACAAGAAACCATGTATTAAATAAAATCTTAACTTTCCTACACTTCATTTAAGATTTTTTTAGCTCTACCTCCCATGCACAAATGTAAAGCTACCTACTGCATAAACTGAACAACGTCCATTCTACATTTCAACATTATACGTTAGCATCAAAAACAAAAGTTCTGTTTCTGTACCAATTCACAAGGCCTGAAGAGAAGCAAATTAAAAGGAGAAATATTCCACTAACAACAGGATGCTCTCCAAAACACACTACACCTTGACTTCTGGAAAACACTGCCAAACTGTCATGGAAGATTACGTGCTGAGAAAAATCTAAACTATTTGACATAAATCGCTATATTTCTTATATTTATCTAATAGTCAAATGTTTGAAATAGAATATACTTATTTTCATATGAAAAATGAAAAACTTTCAAATGTTCTTTTCAGCATAGTTTGTGTGTTTTTTTTTTTTCTTGGAGATCTATCTCCCTACTGTTAGTAAAGCTCAGAACTCAAGCAAGAAGCAGAATAGGTTTTGCACTGAAAATGAAATTGGTTCCAAATACCTATTTGGTATCAACTGCAAAAAAATTATATAGAAATCTAGTTCACTTTATTTTTGTATCCGCACACTTAATACATGCATTTATTTTATTATCATTAACAAGGAAGATGGATATGGACCTTTATAAATACTTACGTACATAGCAAATATTTTATTTTTCTAATTATAGATATACACACATATGTATACATGCTTATATACATATATGAATATATGTTTAACTTTTATATAATAACATTTATAATATAACATAATATATTTATATATTTGACTTTAAGAGGAATTTAGTGCACTGCATTCCATATAAGGCACCACATCCTAAAGCCACAAAAACTCCAGTTTAGGTGAAACAGGAAAGCTTAGGTTAGGAAAGATGAGTCCTTAAGTAAGGTTTCAAGCAGACTATATTATGTACTGCTTGTGACCCATACCAGCTACAAGCCAAAGTTCAGGGGCTTATTTTTAACAGTGTTTTAAATAGCTTGTGCTTAGTGCATTTAACAGATTGGTAGCATCCATTGTTCTATATCAGATTAGAAAAACAAAGTGGCAAATATAAAACGTTTGATTTCATTCAGAAACAGGCCAATGGTAGAACTACAGAATCAACAATGAAATAAATGACTATCACTAAAGTCTTAATGAAAATAAAACAACTCCTAAATGAATCAAATTATTATAATGGCGTTTTGGCTAGAGGGAAAAAAAATGAAAAATTATTCAAAAAAGATTTCTTTTGGTTTTATTTTCATGAATTTCTTCCCAGGCTGACATGTAAAATATCTAATGCTGTGAACAAATGAAACTACTACTTCTCTGATGGAGACAACATTCTCTCTTTTTACATGCTTCAGAAGTGCTCAGATATAATTGCAACAAAAAAAGTAGATATCTAACAGCTTCAGATATCTGACTGATTTAGATGCAAATGAAACCTCATGCATGGGGGGAACCTACACAGGTTTCAAATCACTAATACTGGAAATATTTTCCTATTCTTCTAATAAAAACTTCTGTAAAGTAGAGAGGACTCTGGGAAAAATTGCATTATGCCTCATATTCTACCAAACTGTTAAACTGAGCCAGTCTGAACTACAATTTGGATCCCTCCATCAAAGAAAAAGCTGGCCGCTCCTAAAACATTCACCCACAGAAAAATCTTCAGCATCCCTATAAAGAGCTTTTTCTCCATACACTTTCCCTGCATCTCATATTGACATCATGACACGCAAACTATCACAAGAGCCTAAGGAAAGCAGCGCAGAAGAAAAAACTAACAAAAAATACCCCACCTAGGTAACTGGAGACAGGAAACGGTACTCCTGGTACCGTATAAACGGTAATGCTGGTATGTAAATATGGAGAATTCGGATTAAGTGAAGAAGTTACCAAGTCAGACTTGAAAGAATTGTCTTCTGAATGCCAAAAATAAGCTCCCTTCACTAGGTCCTTTACATGTTCTCTTACAGACCTTTTGAGCGCTGTAGAAAACTGTAAACACATTTATTGTTCCTATCAACACTTCCAACCACTACTTTTACTTTGTGAAGTGTGATTCCATTCCACGTACATATATAAATACTTATGTTTACTTTCTAACTATCAGTCTTGATAACTATGTTCTAAGAGACTAACCCACATTTTATTCGCATATATTAATATACAGCCTTATTTGTCCAACTTCACTTAACTGAAAAGTAGAATTTAGTAGTAAAGTTAAACGAGTAAAACACACACATTTCTTCCTTCGTGTAAACTATACTGAATTCTCCACCATACAATATAATATTATTGAAGTCTTTCCAGAATGACAGGTCTGAAGAATACCATTCATCCACAACGTAATAAGCAATCAGCAATGCAGCAAGTATTCCATTAAGTTCTATCTATGCAATATAGTTGCTATATAAAAGCTGAAATAAGAAATTCCTTCTATACGTACTTCTAAGAAAGCAAAATTAAATGTTTCTTATACTGAGAAATACAATTTAATGCAACAATCCTAAGATCACTTTATAACTGCACGGTATATTTAATAATTATTCACAAATAAGTATTCCTTAAAAACACAAATCCCTTTCCCAATTCCAATATTCGAGAAGAGAAACATTTCTACAAATCCCATCTTAAGATCTTACTTAACAACTTACCTATCAAAACATTTATTGGCAAAATTTTACAGCCACCACAGGAAATTTCCCAGGGATTTGGAGTTACCTGCATACAGGTAACCTGAATACAGCATTAAACCGAGTAGACTAGTAGCTTCATTCTAGTAATGGCTTCTCAAGTATTAAAAAGACGCATATCTAAGCAACATCAAAATTTAAGAAATATAATTACATGCAGGTTCAAGGATCTTTTGAAAGAATACCATAATTCTACTCTCCCGTGCATTTGTTTTCCTTTTACAAATGATAATCTTTAAAAACAAATCTTTACCTAGGGTTTCCTCTTAGTGCAGCATGGTGAAGAGCATTAAACCCATTGTTGTTGGTGATAGTAACATCTGCTCCCGCTTCTAACAATACAGCAAGGATGTCATCACGCTTTTTACTTATTGCATCATGAAGTGGAGTGTCGCCTTCAGAATCCTAAAACCAGAACCAGCTTACATCAATTTTTGCATGCATCCCCATTAAAGAAAAAAAAAGATGCTTAAATATAACTAGGAAAACTGACTACACAAACAGAAAACAGCTCTTCAGACCTTAAAGTGTTGCTATACTGCAGAGTTCAGAGCAAGCTGCTTCTGATCTTGCTCTGGTTTTGCAAATACTTCAGTGGGCAATCCTCCCCAGAGCTCCAGTATTCTACAATTACACTACTACCAGAACTCAAACCCAGAGCTCAAGTATGCCTTGCATCTGACCGTACTGAAGACACTGGTGTAGACACCAACTTCTCTAAGCCTCATATCCAGATGGAGTTGATGCCCAAGTTATAAATTCATGAGTAATAGAAGGACAGCAACAAAAACTAATGCAACAGAGAGGAGACTAGTCAGGCAGAAGGAGGCAGGGAATTTTGAGTAATGAACGCTAAGATTGAGCCAGCAATTAACCATGTAAAAGACAACACCAGAAAGACAGTGTGAAATAAAAGCATAAGCAAATCAAAATAAAAAGCAGTCCAAGTAATAAATTTAGGCACATCTGCTGTTTTAACTGAAGCAGATTGTTCTCCATGAAGCAAAGGACAATGTCATAAGCAATATTAAGCTTTTAAACTTGTTATGGCTAATACCAGATTACATTACACAAGGTACATGAAAATATTTCAGTGCATAATTGAACAAGCAAAGAATTTATATTTTTAGCTTGATGTTTTATTTTTCAAATACCCCAAATAAGGGAAAAATACTTTTTATTCCTAGAAGCATTTTGCACATTACTTATTCAAGGATCCAAATGGTTGGACTGAAAAATGGAATGCTCTAGACTAACAGTGAGAAAACACATCCATTTAAGCTTATTTGCTGCTATATAGGCAAACTCTCTAGATTTATGCTTCCAGTAAAATTTTAACACCATATAAGTCAGGAAGTCTTGTCATGGACACTGACTCAACTGCAAACTAGCACAGGAACCAAACATTTTAGCAATACACTAATATGAAAACAAATCTTTACAATCTTTACAGTAAGAATCAAAAACTACCAAACAAAAAGTGCCAGAAAACGGAAACACTTGAACCAGCGTGAACCAGTTTACCAAAACTAATTTATATAGCTTTTGTTTTGTTTAATTGATCATATTTCCCGAAGTTACTGTTTATAGACTACATGTGTTTCTGTTTACACAGTGAATTGGCGTGAGTAGTACAGTGCTGGCCAGTTAAATTCCAGTCATGCCTCAGTCTGACTCCCCTGTGCTCTCATCGGAGTTCCTCAGCACACAGGCAGGATCGTTATTATTTTCAGTGACAATTGTATTTTCCAGATGGAGTGTCATAGCACCACTCTACTGAATTTTTCAATCCAGACAGAATTCTATAAAGTCAGACACATCCACTTTGGCTAGCCATATCTCACACATCGTTATATGATATATAGTCACCCTTTATTGGGCTCAACACATCAGGCTCCTTATTATATCTACTGTTCAACAAATACGAAACAGGGTCTGGATGGATGTTAGCTGGCTAACAGCTCAACCTCAGCAAGAGCAAGACAGCACCTATAAAGTCAGGTGGAAGCAGATAAATAAACAATCATGATATTCACTAATTTCAAGAGTTTGTTCATTGTTTGTTATGTGGATATACAGCTTCAAAAAAAAAAAATCACTGATTATTGACATGGCAAAACAAGGAGGTAAATGTGTTACTACCGCGTATCTTGATTTTCTCAAGATGTTACAGCTTTTTCTTTCTGTTGCAAACATCTTCAAACTTACCCATTCTGATTTGTTTTACTAACGTGGCTGCATTCAGCTCATGCAGAATGTGGATGCCTGCTTATCTGATAGGAGTTTTCTACTCTACCTTCTCAACAAGAAGTTGCACTCCTATGTCACAGCTTCCACCACATTCATTACAGATAAAACTCCCTGTGAAATGATGGTATTTGAGGCCCTATGCATGAGGGCCTTTTAGATAAGAGGCTGAACATTTAAAAGAGAATCTGGCTAAATATTTCTGTCAATGATAGGTCAATTCTGAAAAAAGGTTTCTTTTAACAAAACATTCCACAGTATCATCAGCCAAAAAACCACAAAGCTATAGCTTGCAGAAGGAGCAAACAGTTGTGGATTTGATAGAGGAGGAATTAATCTGGAGATAAAGTTAACAATTACAGATAACTACAGTTTGTGAGAATACCAATTAACATCAACTGGCTAGAATAAATCAGGTGCCTATCTAGCTGTCAAGAAAACAAATAGATTTAACAGCATTTTTATAACAGCTGATCATATGTTGGGGTGGAGGCTGGGACAGATAACTTCTCAAGGTCTGTTCCTTTCAATCCCATTTTCCATAATTCTTCTATCACCTACACACAGCATCTACACACAGCAAATCCTAACATTCAGTAGCTAAGAAGTGAATCTATATTAATATTTACTTTACCTGGAGACTAGGATGGCAGCCAAAGTCCAGCAGAGTCTTCACAACTTGCAGATGACCTTTGTTGACAGCAATATGAAGCGGAGTCTGCCTGCGTTTGTTGCGAGCATTCAAATCTGCACTGCCTCGGTGCAAAACCTCTATCACAGCACCCTCATCACCAAAGGCTGCGTGATGGACGGCCCTGTCTCCATCTTTGTCCTGAAGTAGAAACATTAATTTGACCCAGTATATTCTACATTTCCTTTGCATTTAAACAGGAAGACTAATTTAAACTGAACCGTTGTGTATATTTAATTTCTTTAAAGAGAAAAAAATTAGACAACCATGATACCATTCAAATGTCTAATTAAAATAATTGTTCAAACCACAGCAACAGAGGATGAAGAGTCTGTTTGTATATATTCTATGACATATGATATTCTATATCATATACAACTATTGCCCTGAATCTTTGTGTGATGAGCTCAGAAACTCAAATAGATTCATGTGTGCTTCTACTACAAAACAACCACTGTCAAAAAAAAAACCCCAACAAAACAACAAACCCAAAAAACCCCAAAAAACCAACCAAAAAACCAAACACCGCCACCCCCCACCCCCCGCAAACACCCAACCCTCAGCCTCCCAAAAATGTTACACTTGGCAACCCAGGGTAACCCTTCCCGTAACCCAGGAAGCATTACAGATTCCAAATCATGGTATAGGACAAGAGAATTATCTTGTTCATACAATTAAGCTAATATTTATTCGGGTTTATTATAGTGCCCTAGTTTTCAGTTAATAAACCTTTTCCAAAGGAAATTTGGGATTGATGGTGAAATTAATTAGAAGTTCTGACTCTATGATGATGATTCACAGCATTAAATCTCTGATTAAATTCAGTTTGTTTCACTTTCATCCAAAGTGAGAATTAAGGTATGAAAGTAATAAATTTGTCAGTTTGGGTTATTTTCACATCTGTAAGAGTGGACTGTACTACATGAAACATTTTTACATATTAATCAAGTGATTTCAACATTAATGACAGTATACAAAAGCTAAAAGTAAAATGGAAGGTATATTAGAGGTTTCAATGAAATAACTTCCATAAACTAGTTTCTAACTAGATTTTTGTGCACAGTGGAATATTACTATGTATTTGTAGGATTCAATTTTGACAATAGAGAAATACTGGAAATTGTAAGGAGATAAAAATCATGACTGATTAAGGGTGCACTGATGGTCTCTCTTGGGTAAGCTTAGTTTCCCTTATCAATTTGCTTCTCCTTCAGCAATGTTGTTTGAAAGTTATTTTTATTATCATAGAATCATAGAATGCTTTGGGATGGAAGGGACCTTTAAAGGTCATCTAGTCCAACTCCCCTGCAATTGGCAGGGACATCTACAACCAGATCAGGTTCCTCAGAGCCCCATCCAGCTTGTCCTTGAATGTTTCCAAGGATGGGGCATCTACCACCTCTCTGGGCAACCCGTTCCAGTGTTTCACCACCCTCGTGGTCAAAAATTTTTTCCTTGTGTTCAGTCTAAATCTACCCTGGTTTAGTTTAAAACCATTACCCCTTGTCCTGTCGCAGCAAGCCTTGCTAAAAAGACTATCCCCATCTTTCTTGTAGGCCCCCTTTATGTATTGAAAGGCTGCAATCAGGTCTCCCCGCAGTCTTCTCTTCTCCAGGCTCAACAACCCCAGCTCTTTCAGCCTTTCCTCACAGCAGAGGTGCTCCATCCCTCTGATCATTTTTGTGGCCCTCCTCTGGACCCGCTCCAACAGGTCCATGTCCTTCCTGTGCCGATGTTATGTGTAACACATTTCTAATATATTTTACATCAATGCAAAAATTAGTAGTTCTTAGGATAAATTATATTTGCACAACTACAAGATAACAATGAGACTATTTACAGCATTTAAAAAATGATGGAAGGAGACTTATTTGCTAATTATCAAAATATATCTTTTAGGAAATATGAATGTGATTTTCAAGACAGTCAGGACACTAAACAGCAGCTTCAATAGCTTTTGAAAACAAGATATTTTTATGCCTTCCAAATCAACTCATGCTACAAAATTGTCTTCTAAGATAGCAGGATTACTTCTCAGGCTCATCTAAGACAAACAGTCAAAAGAAGCCAAAGCTTGCCCATTTGGAAGGGGAAAGGATCAGAAAGGGGAACTTCTCTGTATTTCTCATCCGGTTATAAAGATCATTATGAGGTGAAACTTATCAAGAGCATGACAGTAGTGTTAAACTGCTACATTTCTATTTACAGAGCACTTTGCTTCACAAGTATGTCGTAATTTGTCTTTTCATATTTGCAGTTTGTGAAGTACACTGAGATACTTACTGATGAAACCCCATATAATTCATTAAATATTTTACAGTTTTAACATATGCCAATTTTGAGATGCAAATCCCTGATTTTATAAAATCTTAAACGTATAGAATTCCTACTTTAATGAGTAGAGGTCAAAGAAAGCACGTGCCTTTTTTTTTTAGCTCAGCATCAAAACAAATACTCTCAGCAGCTAAATCCCACTGTAGTTTACCTAAACAATAGTATATTAATATACCTAGAAAAAGCTAGCAACTAGTTAAGCATCTGTCCTCAGACTTCTATTTAGATACAAATCTAAATATTAAAAGCACTATATTTCTATACATGCCAATCATATAATATTGTCAGTGCTGTCAATACAATAACTGATACCGATTAATTTCTGCAGACTAGAAAGGTACATATTTTTACCGTATAATATCTACACCAGGCTTTCTGAGCTCTGTCAGTAACAAATTATTTTCTGACTAAACAGAGGCCACTTGTACTCTGCATTAAGCTGTCAGAGACATAAGCACAGAGGAGACAACAGTATGAGGGCATCCCCAGAAAACGTCATCATGAATGTTCATACTCTGCAGCAGTGACCATAAGTGTAAATATACCAAATATAGCTATAAAGCAGGCGAAGTAAGGATTTTTATCTATTGCTTCCATGCCACAGACCACAACAATGAAGTAAATGGACTAAATTTTTGCTCTCTGTGTAATGGGATGACTCTGCTGCATCTGTTCACATCACTAATTTATAGACAGCTGACATTTTTTAAAGCCTGAAACATATAAACATTAATCTAAATCACATTATATATATGATTAATATTATAAAAATTAACGCAATTATATAATTAACTAGGAATATAATCTTCACTCAAACAAAGTTACATGAAAAAGCTTGAAAATTCAAATAGAAATCCCTGAAAATTTTTTTAATGCTAGTGTTACAATACTTCTGAAGCCTGAGCAAATGTGAACTCTTCACAATTCTACTGCTAGCTGGTTACCAGGTGTATTATCTTGAAGCTGTTTCAGCAGTGCTTCTACTTCCCTCTCTAATACTTTTTTTTCTAGTAAAGGAAGGGTTAAAAGCATCAGTCCACCACTTAACACAGCAGTTTTGATCCCATAGTACAGATGAAAAGCAGCTTAGTCTAGTTTATAACGGTGTATGCTATGTATGGCAGTGAAAGCACTACTTCTAAAATGAAGCTACTTCACAGAAATCAGACCACAGCAAGTGTGTACTGCATCAAATCTAAGCCACCTTTACCATTTAGCAGAAAACCTTTATAAGGTAATGGTGTATCTGTGAATATAAAAATACTTTTAGTTCCAAGAATTACATCATCACTTCATTAATGTATTAACATATTATAACTTCTGTATATCAAATACAATATAAACCTAAATGCCCAAGCATATAAAGTTGTTATTCTGTTACGCGAACAATTACACACTATTAACTTCTAAGCATTCTATTAGGCTTTAATTTATATTCTTAATAAGAGAAATTTGACAGATCCTTCTTGTGCTTCACAAAATGAGCAAAGGCTACAATATCAGTGCATTCTCTGTAAGTAAACGAGGCAAAATCAATTCAAAATGCAAATACATAGTATGCTGACAGATAATTTTCCTCACAAACAACAATTCTAAAAAACCTAAACAAAAGAAATCTTTCCATTTTGGGTGAAGTTCAAAAAAACCAAACCCTGAAAAACTGGAAGCTGAGTTGGCAGTTCCTACCCAGAGATACTGTTATTACTTTCTGCTCAAACTTGCTTTACTTAAGAATGGAAAACTTTCTCCTAACTGAAGACAGTATGTAAGAAGCATGGCAAGTGTCTGAGGTTGGAGATGCAGCATCCGACAACATCTTTTTTTCTCTGAATGCCACAGGCATTGTGCTAGCCTATTGCATTCTACTGTTGAAATGAAATAAAGGAAATATGGAAGGGGCTTCATCCACTATAATCACATACTAGCTTACATAGCTCTATTATATTAGCATTATATTTCACTTAATTAGAGGTGCTAAAGAACTGAATATTGACCTTTTGTAATATTGTTAGTAGGAGGCTAATTTAGGAACATAATCACAGTAAGAAAAGTTTTTTCACTCACTCTGACATTTATAAAGAAGGCAACTCCAATAGAATTGCTATTTCTGTATGTAGCAAAGTTTAAAACTTAAGGAGACACAAAGTGCATTTTGAAATATTTACGTTACCTCTGCTTCTACATCCACATTCTGTTTCAGAAGCAACTTCAAAATGTCGACATGGCCATTCTGACTAGCAGCTTGCATAGCTGTGTGTCCAGCGCATTGTCCATTCACCTGGAAGCATATCAATACTTTGAGATAAGTTGCAAGATACACACACATACCTATGAGCCACTTTAGAAGTATATGTGCAAGTTTATTAGAAAACGTAAAGCAACAGCACACATATGAAAGTATCAAATGAACCATTTTCAGACGTCTGCCTTTCTGGCACGTATAGATAATCTCCTTCATTTCATATCAGCTAGATCTAAGGAAAGCAGCAAGAAATGGATTTATTATTTCAAACACTAAGACCTCAATGATACCTGGATTAAAAGCTTTCATCTTTGGGCTATTGTAAAGGCAAGATTTTGAGAACAGGTCTCAGAATGATACCAGTCCTCTGCTCTACAGTATGTTTAACTTCATTTTCTAATTTATGGCAACAACAGGAGTCAGCCTGAACAAAATACCATCTTTTGTATAATCTTGAGCTACAAATCAATCCTCAGAACAGATAGAGTTTAGTCTCTTATCTACAAGAATTACTACTGCTGTAGTGAGAAAAACATCCAATTCCGATTTTAAAACATTCTCTGAACCAAGTCCTGTAATTCTTAGGCATTTTCTTTTAGGCTTTTTACTCCTAGGTGATTAGGCAAGTTGGTAAAAGGAATCTGACAGGCAGCAGATTATATGATCTTTATCATGAGTTTAAAAAAAAATAAATCCAAACCCCACAACAGCAGCAGAAATTCACCAAAATCTACCGTCCTTCATTCTATCCCCTCGAAACAAAAGCAGTTGAAGAGCCTTCACTAATTGTGAGTGGTTGGTTCTCTGCCCCAACTCTGGCAGATAGCAGCTGGAAGGTATTTTAACTCATAGCAGACAACAGAACACAAAATCTGTCCACTGAAAAAGAGTGTAAAGCACTATTTTCACACACTCCCCAACACATTTCGTAGGACAACAAACAGGAGAAGAGAGACACTGGAACCAGCTGTACTACTTCTATGCAGACATACTAGTGACTGGCAAGGAGTAACTAGGACAGCTTCACTTCCCTTAGTATTACAGATCCCCAGAACAGGTCCTCCCAAACCAGAACACTCACATCTACGTCTGGTCTCTTTAGCAGGTCTTCCACTTTAGCAACATCTCCATTGGCAGCAGCTTTAACCAATTCTTCATTGAGATCTCCAGATTCTTGGGTTTCAAATAATTTCTTCAATAGCTGGGACAATCTCTCTATAATTATTAAACAAAGGACAATTAAGATTACAATTCTAATCACACAAGAACAGAAAAATAACAGCTAAATTTGTCATGTTTCTAAAGGCATGCACAAAGTAATACACAAACCACCATAAAATGGCAGCTGTAAGTTGTTATTCAGTTCTGAGTAAGTGCTGCACCCCAATACCCTTTAGATAGTTGAGACTGTCACAACAGACACTTCAAAACAAAGTTGACTGAACCACAAATAACTTGTCTACCACAAAATATAGTAGGGAGGGGAGGAGGTAAAAACATGAGTTTACATAGTGATATAACAGGCTGCTTAGGCTTCTAGCTTAACTGCCCTCTGTGATTTTAAACGCTAAGTTATATTACTCTTCTAGCTAGTTTTATGGCTACTGTGACTTTATCTTTGTTGCAGAAAACTCACTGTATCTATGCCTTCCTAGGAAAAAGTCTAGAAAACTATGTAGAAAGGTTTCTTGGCATTAAAACAAATATGTGAATAGGAAAAAACAACTAGCTATGACCAAAAAGAGGAAAAACATTCTAGTTTAATTGATCTGTGAAACAGCCAATGGAACATAAAACATTGGATAGTCTTTCTGCCTTGTTATTAGATGAATAAGAGCAGGTTCAACAGAACTCAAATGTGATTACAGAGACACAAAAAAAAAATCCCACTGTAATTAGTCAAAGGATGTCTGACTAGATTTTAAGATAGAAATTTTAAGGAAAGAATACTATCCTGAGTAACTGCTTGCAACAGATCCCTCACTTACGTTTGTTATCCCACACCACCTATGGAACAAGGAGTATGCTGCTTGCTACACCCAGCGACACCCTCTTCATGCCTTGGTCCCTATTCCAATCTAATGTTCCTTCCAACCATTTAAATTTTAAAGTCCTTAGAGCAGACCTCCAAAGACATATCTGCACTGTGGCCAAACAGAAACCCGTATTTGACTTGGAGTTTTTGCACCTTATCCAGATAACAACAACCAACATCTCCATCCAGACTGCAAGCTTTTTCTTGTATCTTTCTCTAAGGTATAACATCGATTAGCCAAACTGCAAGTCTGAGTGTTATTAACCTTGCGTTACAACTTATGTACTAGTACTTATTAACAATTTTTTAATTAACACATACTTGCTGTACATACATTACTGCTTATCCTTCAAACTTACCACCAGATGCATTACTTATAGCAGATCCTGCTGATGCCACCTTTGAGACAGCTGCTGGATTATATGTCCAAGATGTCCCACAAACCTCTACCTTTAAGTCGCTGTCTGAATAGATCTGCTGGACCCGACCAACTTTACCTAAAGTCTGCATTAAAGAAAATGTCAAATGCAAATAATACTAAAAATAAAATATTTAGAAATCTGAATGTTATAATAAGCCACAAATTTTATTAAGTCAGTTGTTTAATAGTACAGTCACTAATACCTTTAGCTAAGTTTCCTCAGGCTAAGCAAATTACTACATCTGAGCAAGTATTACACTGAGTTTGATGAAATCCACTTTCTCTCACTTAGAAGAAAATCACTGACTCCCACAACCTTGAGGTATTATTACCAACCATAATTAGAAATATTATACAAGTTTTACGATTCTATGAATCCAAACATACAACTACTTACTGGAAGCATTGCTTCAGCCCACTCTCCATGACCTCTCTGAAGGAGCTTGATTCGCTCTAAGTCATAACATACTTGAACAAGGTCACCCACTTGAAATTGAGAGGTACCTCCTTCTGCACCTTGAGCAGCATCTCCACTTCGAACAACATTGGCTTTGGTGAGAACAGCTGGATTAAACGTCCACCTAGACAATGAACCATTTAAAGTAGATTTTGAACATGCAAAGTGAAATACATGCTTAAAAATTATCTGTTGGACAAGATTCTGCTTGTATGCCTACAAACTTTCTGCAATTGGATACTACGGCATATTTATTGTTAACCATTTTTTGCCCATAAACTTGTCTGTGGCTCATTAGTTGAATATTTCCAGGGTCATCTTCAGAGACATACATTTGTGAAGCAATGAAGAAATATCCTGCCTAAGGGGAAGCAAGCCGACAACAATATAATAATCCTGAAAACAGCTATACACTTTGTTTATTTTTCCAGTGAGAGGAGGAGACAACTCTTGTTGAAAAGGGGAAGATCCAAGCTGTCTCACAAAGGATTGGACTGTCAGGACACAACATGGGAAGAACACAGGATTTTGCCCCCTCCCTCCCAAGTCATAAGCTGCAACATTCAGTTATAAAAATACTCTTCAATCAAATGGTTGTTCTAGATACATCTCAATTTTTAACCAAACTATCCTAATTTGTACTATAAATATTACTGGTTTAGAGACATTCAGATGTTTTCACGCTGAGTTATATTCTAATATATAATATGGTGATCTCTCCTTTATGTGCCATTTGGTCTAGGGTTGACTTTCATTCAGCTATATGATCTAGTTGAGAAGCATCAGATAATCTCTATAAAGGCAAAGTCAGGGAGGAAACCACAAGATAGAGCAGCTCCACTCACTGGCTCTGCAGCCATGACTGTCAGAAGAAACACCACTTGCATCCCTTCAGCTTGTGTTAGCTGGGAAAACAGCTTTATTTTGCATTACTTTGCAATATTAACAAACAGTATCTTGAGGGAAAGCCTGAATTAATAATGCACTGTTAATCCTTTCTGGACAAACTGAAAAGGTCAGTCATCAGATACAACTGAAACGATATTCCATTCATCAGCTGCTTTTTAAAGGTAAGCCCAATACTTCAGAGCAAGACAACACAAAACCATGTGGACAGATCAGCTCAGATCCAGCTGTAGAGCTGGGTTTGAATCCTGTTAGCATGGATGCAGCTCATCAAATTTCAAACCTAAACTGCTTGCAGGGAGTGGTTTTGGCAACAGCTTCCCCAATATGTCCCATCCTTGGTCCATATTTACATAAACTAATATCCATTTGAATAAGAAAATGCTAGATATAGATCACGCCAAGGTCACTCTATATTAGACAAGATCCCCAACACAAAAAGTTCGTCACCTGTCCTCTTAACCCATTTTCCTGAAAACCCACAATGCATTGCTATTACCATTCCCCTTGAAATCATGGGATACTTTGTAATTAAAAAAAAGAAACTACTGCTTAAAACACTACATTTTGCAAATAAAGATAGTCCAGAACATCATTCATTATTTTGGACTCAAATTTTCACCAAGTGAGAGGCAACAAACTTCCTTTTCACACTAAAGCATTTTTAAAGGTAAGTCTTCATTACACATTGTAGAAGGAATATAAAAATTCTCAAGAAAATCTTAATAGACACAAAAGGAGAACAGAAAGTTTCTGGCACCAAGTGATCACAAGTGCTAAAGGCAAAGGAAGTTTGTGAGAACCAATGATGAAGGCTATATAACAAACCTGTTGCTACTTGGATATTGTACCACAATGTCATGATCCTCATCAATGCCACAAACTGTTCCAGTTGTTGTTAAAGTTTCAAACATGCCATCAGTCCATCCTCCATGACCATGCTGCAAAGACTGTACAATTTCCAAATCAAGGTCAATGTTTACAAGGTCACCTATTTGCAGCCCACCAGGGTTTCTGTTACCGTTTTGCTCACCTGAAATGGAATTAAAAGAAAATGTTCACATGACCACACTAATTCTCCACGCAATTTAAAGAACAGAAGTTAATTTCTGAGACTCGATGTCTCTGCAACTGTAGCGGTCAACAGCTAAAAGGGAGTGAACCAGCGAATTTAAAATTAAAATGTGTTCCCTGGACAATGCCTGCTTTCAAATGATGTGTCATAACAAAAATTCATTAGCTGGAGGGAAATGGCCATTATTCACACACATCAAGCTGTGTTAACTGATGAGAGAACACACTTGTGGACCTGCTCGCTGCCAGAACCAGAGGATGGTATCTGGTGCCATCCACAGACAGTGAAGAGTACAACAACTGCCGAGGTCACGTAGATTGAGTTCCATGGCAACATCAGTGGTGAAGGACAGGGTGAGCAGAGTTCCTTTAGTAATACTGCTGTCTCCAAGCAGGGTAAGCTGGGTGTGGGGGGGGGTGTTTGTTGTTCCTCTTCCAAGCAAGAGGTAATAATGGAGAAAGGGTCCTTGCACTGTAACAATAAGGAAGTACAAACAAACAGCCTGACACACAGAGGCAAAAACATTATTTGAAGGGAGACTGATTCCAGAGCCTGAAATCCACACCAGATGTTGGCAGCACTAGTTGCAGCACTAAAAGTCTCCAGAGGAAAGAATGGTGAAGAAGAGAATCTGATACTACTGAAGAAGAAACAGCTGAGAAAGGAAACATGCCCATGAATAAATGCTAAGGTTCAATGGACTTTGACTTCCGTGACCAGCCCGTGACTTCTTTCTGTCTTGGTCTTAGTTTAAAGGACTATAGATGAAGTGCTATTTTCAGTCTGCACCCTTCACCTTCACAGCAAAACACACATAACATGGAAAAAAGCCACTTCTGCAGAGGACAAAGTTAAAGATTAATTCTTCAGAAAAGCTACTGATGCGGAACTCACTAGATATAAAAAACTTAGACAGCAAACTTCCCAGGGACAGCCCTGATGAGACAGGGAAGTCTAAGAAAGGAAGAGATACAAAGCAGCAAAGAATTATAGAAGTGTTAGTTGAAGGAAAGGATCTCTAGAGGTCATTTGGTCTGATATCCCACACAGAGCTGAATTAACAACCAGCTGAGGTCAGCTGTGGCTTTGCCTGTCTGAGTCCCGAAAGCCCTCAAGGACTGAGGTTCCACAACCTCTCCAAGTAACTTTTTTGCAGTGCTGCAATATAGAGCTGTAGGTGTAACAGAAAATTTCTTCAGTATCTGGTCTGACCCTCTCGAGTCACTTAAGGTGGCCTTAAGGGCACTACCGTTTGTTTTTATGCCATTTGCCACTACTGAAATTTTGGTGCCATCATTTTCAATCACCCTTCAAGTGGTTGTAGGTGACTAGGAGATTACATCTTAACCTCTTTCTTACCAGACTGAAAAAGCCCAGCTCCTCCTCCTTGTAAATCATGTCCTCTCCATCTCTTAACCACTTTAGCAGGCTACCATCAGACCCTCTCCAGTTTCTCAAAACTGGGGGGAGGGAGGGAAGAGGAGACAGACAGACAATGACACAAACAGGACATAGTAGTCTAGACACAGCTTCATCACCATTGAGAAGAAGGGAATAATAACTTTTACTATTCTGTTGCCCACCATCCTCCTAATATAGCCTGCTATGAAGTCTACCTTATTTGCAATGATGGCACACTGCTGTCTCATTCAATTTGGTATTCAGTGCAACACTCGGGTCTTCTTCAGCAGGGCTCCTCACTCAGGCATTCACAATTCCCAGTCTGGGAATTCCTGGTACATAGGCTTATTCCAACCAGAGTGCAAAACTGCACTTCCGATTGCACTCCATGAGGTATCCATTCACCAAATTCTTCACTTCCTCAAGGCTCTTCTGAATAAAGCTCTACTTTCAACCACACCCCTCTGCCAACTTGCTGTCATCTGCAAATTGCTTGGGATTGTATTCCATCTCATCATCAAAGTCACTGATGAGGTATTGAACAAAATCAGCCCCAGTATTTTGTCCCAACTACATACTACTCCGTATCAGTTAGGCCCCTGCTGGAATATTATTTGCACTCTGAGTGTCGCAAAGCTTCAAAAATAACTTTCTAGTTTTTAATGCAAGCATACATTCATGCTGTGAATGTAAATGTATCTGTGAACTACATTCAAAAGACAAATAAAAGGGACAGATGTTCTAACAAACAGTAAGACTAAGAAGATGGAGGTTAATATGGTAAGTATGATGAACAGAGTTCATCATCATCCTTTAAGAGCAACTTAAGAGAGTGGAAGGGGAAAAATTCAACAAAGAATAGTCTCCTACTATCTTTAGTGATTAATATTCATGCATTCAAATACAGTTTCACCCCATAAGTAAGCTACATGCAGAAAACAGACCTGTACTTTTAAAGCAAAAATGAAAACTAATACAGGGCATGCATAAGAACCTAAGTTTACCTGTGTAATAAAGAACCATTAAGAGCCTATTACTATTTTCCTATTTTTATTCACATTAGACTAAAATGACAAAATTAATTGCAAGTACAGAAGCAAGACACAAAGATCAGAGTGCCTTGGCTTTTTATTTACAAACAATTCATCTACTTGACAGTAAATAGCAAAGTGACTTCTTGGATAACTGTTTGTTTTCCTAAACAAAACAGACCTTTATGTTTTCACCTTTTCACCAATGCTGTCAATAGAAGACTAGTGCTTGCAGGTCCTAGTTCAAGTACTTGTACAAGGAATTAGATTAAGACTAGTAAATAGAGAATTCTCATTACTTTACAAAAGCCAGTACTATAAGCTAAGTTTTTTATGCATTAAAGTATAATAAGAAACTCAAGAAGAAAAGCAGAATTTTCTGTAGTGTCCAGTTTTATGACCAGGTGTTTTGCCAAGGAAATACACATAATAACTATGAAATTTGTGTCCAGTAATCTATAAAATTTATCCCAACTTGCCCATATCTCAAAACCCAAAACACCCGGCAATTATTTTTTATAATACACTCCGCACATGTCTACAGCCCAGCCAAGACACTAGAGGAATAAGTCAGTGCAATAGCTGATATGGAAAACCTTAACTGAGATTGCACAACATATTCTAGTATAAAATAACAGGTTAAGTTATATGTTTGAATGACTCATGCTTATGGCCATGTACATGCTACTTTATTGAACATCTCTGAATATTTAAGACAGTCTTACAAGAATGCACAGGTCTGTCTGGCTCTTTAGAAATATAGTGCACAAGACTTGCGACTATTACTTAGTCAACACTTAACAGCTCCCTTGCCATCTACTTGGCACACTGATACCAAATACATTTAGAAAAGTGTTACAATTTATTATTAATGCATAGAAATGCTACCATGTACATTCCGTTAGTAAGGACAGTCCTTTTAGATAACATTTAAAGAGAAATCCAGACTAAGAATAATTAACACACATCAAGATAAATTTACTTCATCTTCAACTCACCTAACACAGGACAATGGTCCCTGTAGAAAGAGCCTCCTTTTGCATCTTGGACACATTTCAGGTCAGACTACGGAGAGAGATTGAGACAACTTTAGTCCTCACTGACTGAGTCTCCAGGCTAACATAAGTCAGTGAAACTACAACTGAGATGCACTCAATTAAGAAAGGCTGAAAATTATGTGTACAGAAAACATGCCCCATGAATTCGTTACTGATGCATATAATCTCAAATACTTTCCAATCTATTAGCCTTGACATCCTCAAGATTTTCATAACCTTTACTGATATTAAAAGGCTATAAAGGATGAGACATTTTTAATTCAAAGGAAGGTATTAAAATAACACAAAGCTGCTTTGCATTGTTCTGTAAAGTTATCTTTCCTTTTAAAAAACACAAGCAAGGAAAGAAAAGAAAAAATCTGCAAACAGTGCTCATGGCCACAGCCTTTCCTGTACTGACCATTTAATGCCTGCCAGTGCTGCCCCCTCTTCCCAACCCTTTTTGACAGATACATGTTTATCTTAGAGAAGAAAACCTGGCACCCAAAATCTTAATGAGAAATTCTTCGTTTTGTAGAATATACAGAACACAAGGATATTCTTTTTTTTAAAAAAACACTATGCTGAGCTAAACATGATCTTTTTAAAGAGAAAAGTTCTAAAGCTCATCCTCCCGAAATACGCTGTTTAATATTATCTGAGAAACAGAGGTTTCAAGTGTGATAACCAACTCCTATTCATAAAGCCAGCAGAGTTCCTATAATTCTCCTTTCCTTTAGCTTTTTCCCTGTCTAACCCTTAAAGCCAAATGGCTACCATCTGCCATGGCTCCTTACGGAACAATTCTCACTAAACAAAGGCATTTTGTGCACATGATGAGTTGGGAAGGAGATAGGAAACTGTTTGCAAAATGTGTCAGAATATTCTATGGGGTGCGGGAGGAAATAGAGGACAGGTGGTGGTTATGATATAATCAACCAGAACTAAACAAATACTCTAACAATTATTTTTCCCACACTCAAGATTTATTGACAGACTGTGCTCCTGCAAAAGGATTAAAATGAAAACTCTCAAGTCTTTCAAATCATCAAGGCACTGACAAACACAATACTACCCTCAGTGACCTGTAATTGCTAAGCAGCCAGAAACAACAGAAAATTCAGCGTATATCCTGATCTATGAAGAATGCACCGCCACTTTTTGCAAAAGTGATGAAAACAGCCAGAGGAAAATAATGAGATTTAGCTGCTCATCAAATCCTATGGAAAAAAAAAAAAAAAAAAAAAAAACCGAGCACCAGAGTTCGGTGAG